TGCCTTGGGCTGTGGGCAACACGGGGCTTCACGGGGGTTCCCCCGCCAGGACCATCACGCTGCACCACCGGATCCGGCAGTCCTCCAACCCCTACGCGCCCTCCATCAAGGCTTTTGACACCCGGCTGCAGAGAGGGGAGGTGTTCCCCGAGGAGGACCTCGCCAGGTAAGCGGCGGAGCCGTGGTGCGGCCTCCTGGTGCGGGGGTCCCTGGGTGACCCGACGGCGTCCCTGCGCAGGTACAAGAAGATCCTGGGGAGGGCGAGGAAGTTCGAGCTGGACCGCCACAGCGTCATCCTCTGCACGTGCTCATGTGCGGCCTCGCCCAGCCTCAAGAACCTGAACGTCCGGCAGGTCTTGGTCGATGAGGCGGGCATGGCCACGGAGCCCGAGACGCTCATCCCCCTGGTGAACTTCTCCCACATCGAGAAGGTGAGGCAGGTGCTGATGCCAGGCAGGCCTCGCCCGGGGGGCTCACACCTGGATGCAGGGAGCGCATGGAGGGCAGGTTGAGGTGGGGTAGCAGCGGACGTGCTGGGTGCCTCTGGGTCTGGGGGTCAGATCCACACCTGTCCTCCAGGTGGTTCTTCTTGGGGACCACAAGCAGCTTCGGCCTGTGGTCAAGAATGAGCAGCTGCAAAGCCTGGGGCTGGACCGGTCTCTCTTCGAGAGGTACTACAGGGATGCCTACATGCTGGACACGCAGTACCGCATGGTGAGCCGCCCCACGCCTGTGCCTCTGACCACTCCCACCTCCTGCATTCACCCTGGCCTTCTCCTGGGACCCAGGGAGGGCGGATGGCAGCCTGTCCCTGGCTCATGTTCTTCCGGCAGCACGAGGGCATCTGCAGCTTCCCTTCCATGGAGTTCTACCAGAAGAGGCTGAAGACCTGGCCGGGCCTGCGGCGGCCGCCCAGCATCCTGGGCCATGCTGACAAGGAGAGCTGCCCTGTCATCTTTGGCCACGTGCAGGGCCATGAGCAGAGCCTGCTGGTGTCCACAGATGAAGGGAACGAGAACTCCAAGGCCAACCTGGAGGAGGTGGCGGAGGTGGTGAGTGTCAGGTGGTGCCCCTTGGTCAGGAGGGCTTCCTGGAGGAGGAGGCAGAGGAGCTGAGGAAACAGGCGAGGCCCGGGTGCCAGGCGGGGAGGCACCGGGCCTGTTCCACTAGCGCCCCCTCGGTCCTTCAGGTTCGCATCGCCAAACAGCTGACCCTGGACAGGACAGTGGACCCCAAGGACATTGCCATCCTCACGCCCTACAACGCGCAGGCCGCAGAGATCAGCAAGGGCCTCGTGCGTCAGGGTGTCACCGGAGTGGCAGTGTGCTCCATCACCAAGAGCCAGGGTGAGGTTGGAGGCCGGCCCTGGGTAGGGCTCCTGGGCCTTCGGGTCAGGAAGGTGGGCCTCACTGTGCCCCTGGTCCCCAGGGAGTGAGTGGCGCTATGTGCTGGTGAGCACCGTCCGTTCCTGCCCAGAGAGCGACTTGGACCAACGGCCGACCAAGAGCTGGCTGAAGAGGTTCCTGGGCTTCGTTGTAGACCCCAACCAAGTGAATGTGGCCATCACCCGGGCCCAGGAGGGGCTCTGCCTCGTCGGTGAGAGCTGCTGGGGCGGGCCTGGGTGTGGCTGGGCACGGCTGCTATGGGGGTGGGGCCAGCACTGACTCCTCCATCTTGCAGGAGACCACCTCCTGCTTCGATGCTGCCCTCTGTGGCGCAGACTCCTGGACTTCTGTGAGGCCCAGCGGAGCCTGGTGCCCGCTGGCCAGGTGCGGGTCCGGAGGAGGCCAGCCGTGCTGGTCTGAAGGGCCCGCCTCAGCCATCCACTGCCCTCAAGCTGACCGGACGGCCAGGACAAGGCCCAGCCCTCCCCTGCAGGCTGCCTTGGCCTCGCTCCTCGGGATCCCACGTGCCTTCGTCAGCAGTCATCGCCGGCTCGGCCTGGCACCCTGCCCCTGGCCGGGCAGGGTTCGGAGGCCCGCCGTGGCGTGCACATTAGCCATCTCTGGAGCCGGGCTTTGTCCCCGGGGGAGCACGGACCTGAGAAGAAAGAGGAGGTCGGTGCTCATCCCCCGGGTGGCCTGCTTTTACTGCCGCTGTGGTGACCGGAGCATCTCGGGTGGGGCCACTGGGAAGGTTTGGGGTCTGGAAGGAAATCTCAGCTCTTTGGTTTTTAGATGCCATCCCAGCCACACTGGTGCCAGCCATGGAGCTCAGCTTTATTTTCTATTTTTAAATAAACCCAAACTCAGGGCAGAGGGGCTTCCCTGGAAGCCAGGGCCTTTCTCTGCACCCACAGCGCCCCCTGAGGCCACCTCACCTTGACCTCCCCACCCACAGCAGCGCTCCCAAGGGCTGTGGGCGGGGCTGCCATCATGTCCCCCCCCAATGCTACCACCCCCACTCCGCCCCCACTCCGCGGGGGGGCCAGGTCCGGACAGCCTGCCCACCTGGTGTGTCAGGAGGCATTGTGTTCTGCCTTCTCTGGAAGCCTCTGGCCCCCCGCCGAGTCCGCCCTGAGGCAGCTCACACCTGGGTCTCGGGGTGATGTTCCCCACGGGCTGGGGCTGCAAAGTTGTGTGTCCGAGGAGGGCAGCCCCCGTGGCCTTGCTGCGGGACCACGGGATGGGTCTGTTTCCTGAAGTTTTCTACAAATCAAATCTCTACATTCCAATTTTGTATCTTTTCTTGGACTATTATATGATTGAACATTAACTTTGTTATAAAGGCCACTCTGCTTTCTCACCCCTGGGTGTTTTGAGGCCTGTCTGGGGGCACAGAGGGTAGCCCTTCCTCTTACTTAGGTTGCAAAGGGGCTGTGAGGCTGTCAAGCCATTGTGGCAGGTGCTGGGTGGGGAGCACGGGAGCACTGAGGACACCGCCGGCTGAGGGTCCTCTGCCAGCACTGAGGAAGCTGGAACCGGGAGGGCGAGGCCGCGCCGTGAGCTGTGTTCAGGTGTTGCAGGTGTGCCCAGCCTCTGAACGCTGGTCTTAGGCCCGCAGTCTAGGTCCAAAGTCCCCAAGGCTGCCAGCGGGCCCGGTGCCACCCAGGACCTTGGGCACTGCATGGCCCCTGGGGATTAGCCTGGGCTCCTCATTCCCCTTGTGTGGCTGAGCCCCCAGGCCTCCCACCCCCACCCCGTAGAGCAGCTGTGGGAAAAGGAAGGTGTGGCCGGGGCCCTGGGAGTGGATGGGTCGGGAGGTCACAGAGAGACCGAGACGTGGCAGGCCTTTGTGCACCATGTGTTCACTGTGAGGCCCAAAGTGAGTCGATGGGCCCTCCCTGGAAGAGGCCTCCCCCATGGCAGCCTCCTCCAAGCACTGAGAAACTTGACCGTATCTTGTGAAAAACGCTTAAGGAGAGATGAGCAGGTGTCTGAGGCAGGGAGTTAAGACCTCACCAACCTGGAGTCAGGGAGGGCTTCCCAGAGGAAGAGGCCTTGAAACCCCAAGTGTGCTGTAGGAATCAGGGGGCTGGGGGGGCGGGCAGCTACGGGGTAGAGGTGAGGCTGAGGCGGGTCAGGCACAGACCAGCGTCCTGGCCTCAAGGGCTGCACTTAGTAGGTGCAGCAGAGCTGCTTACAGAGTAGGACCTGTGGCCTCTGGGTGAGGGCGCAAGCCAGGCCTCCAGCAGGAGACACAGAATGAGCTGCGTACCCCCATGCACCTCCCTTGGTGAACCCCACTCCGGCCAGGCCCTCTGTTGGACTGGTATGACTCAGCACAAACCCCAGTCCCTGGACCCTGGCCTGCTCTTACCCCTGTTCCCTCCATTTCTGAGGAGCATGAGGCCTGGGCCCTGGGACCCCTGCAGGACATGCAGGAGTGCGCCCCATAGCACACGAGGCCAGAGCGCGGGGCACACAGTGGGACAGGCCTGGGAGAGGAGCCCCCCCCGGGCTAAATCCCCACCTGTAAGAGCACCCTGTCCACGCTGAGGGGCGGTGCTGGGGCTTCTCCGGCAGAGTTGGGGACCCCCTTCACCAAACCACTTCTCGGCCAGTGGGAGAGGGGCTGTGTCCCATCATCCCTGACCACATGATTCTCCAGTGACCACGTGGTTACCTGTGCTGACCATCCTCCTCAGCCATGGCCAGGGACATAGGGCTGTCCCTCCTGGAGCTGGTGTCCAAGCCGCAGGAGCAGGTGGACACTGACGTCCACATTACCTTTGTCAGAGTGAGTGTGCGCACGGGGAGGGGCACTGCTGGGCGCCCGGGGTCACAGGACCACTGCAGGGCAAGGGCAGACTATCAAGGCAACATCAAGGGGGTGGTCACCCACAGGGGGCTGGACAGAGGAGTTGGTGGGGAGGGCCAATGGGCTGGAGGGAGTGCCACCTCCCAAGAGTCCTTATGCTGGCCTGTGTGCTGGGGATGCCCCCTGCCAGGCGCCCTTTCCTGGGACCCTCACCCACCTCCGGATGGGGTGCCGATGAACTTCAGCTTCATTTGGGGGAAAGATAAGACTTTTATTGTCATTTTAAAAATAAAATGTCCTTTTGGCCTCAGGCACTCTGATCCTGATAAAGCTGGGTGAGAGTGATGGGCCATGACTGCCCCTGTGGGGTCTGGGCAGGACCTGGGGGACTGTTCCCCTGGGAAACCTGCCTTAGGAGGGAGGAAAGGTGGCCAGAGCCTGTGCTGAGGTCACATGGCTGGTTATTGTGGCGGGGGGGGGGGGGGGCTGGAGCTGACGTGGCCGAGCCCCTGGGGCAGCTGTCATGCTGGAGGTGGCATCCAGTGCCAGGGCTGGCGCTTCTTGCTCTGGGGCCAGCTGTCCTGGAAGGTCCAGCCTGGGGCCCCCGCCCCCCGAAAAGGGAGCAGGAGCTGCGGGGCCTGGGGCTCGTGGGAGTGCTTGGGCCAAGTCAGGAGAAATACCCATGTGGCTGCCGCTGCCCTCAGGACGGAAGTAGGTTTGCTTCTTTCATTGTGTGTGTGCGTTTATACTCCTCTTTATTAGTGGATAAATATTAGAAAACCATCTCTCGGAAGCTGCAGTCAGGGGCGGCCCGGCTTGCCCAGCCGACGGGGGGGCGGCCCTTCGGGGGGCCCCGGCCTGGTCTGCAGTGTGAGGCTGTCCCGCCAGGGCTCATAGACCAGCGTGTAGCTCTCTGCCCTCTTGACGGTGAACTTGTAGACACGGTTGGGCAGCAGGTTGTGGACGTCGAAGGTGCAGGCGGCCACGGGGATGATGCCGCGCTGCAGGTACTCCTGCTGTGTCCGTGGGTCCAGCAGCTTGAAGCGCAGTTCGAACTGTTCCGGCATCGCTGGCTGGATGGTGACAAACCAGCGCAGGGTGACCCAGTCCTGGTGGGCCACCGACTCCTTGCGGTCGAACATGACGGGCATCTTGGTGCTGAGCATGAGCCGGATGTGCGGGATCTTGGTGGCGCCAACATCAGACACCAGGCGGTGCTTGATATGCAGACGCCCTGGCACCATCATGGCCAGGAAGTTGTCCATGACGGCCGACAGGTCTGCCAGCCGCTGTTCCACGAGTGCCCAGCCCGCCAGGAAGGGCCGAGGGTCAGGCGACTCGAGCAGGGCATCCAGCTGGGCACGGCCGTGGTCCAGCTGCTCCAGCAGGTCTCCGAGCAGCAGGAGCTGGATCTTGGTCTGCGCGGTGCCCACCTTCTTCATGCGCTGGAACTTCCAGGGGTCGATGAGCTGGAACATGGTGCTGGGCAGCACCAGCGGGTTCTGGTCGCCCAGGGCCAGGTGCTTGGGGAGGATCTCGATGTGGTAGGAGCACTTCCTCAGCAGCTCCATGCGAGCGTGATGGCGCTTCAGCAGGTGGGGGCTCAGGTCGCAGGTCAGGAACTCCCGCAGCGCATTGCGGCGTGCTGTGTAGGTCCTCCAAGCCTCCGGCTCCAGCAGCTGCCGGTCCTCAGCCTCCTCCACCTCCTCCTGGTCCAGGAAGGACTGGGGACTGTCCAGCTTCATCTTGTCCAGGCCCAGGCCTGTCACCTGGAAACTCATTGTCTGGAGGGAGGGGTGGAGGGTGGGCCGTGAGCGAGAGCAGTCAGTCAGGCCTCTGCTGCCCACCTGGGCTCACTTGGGGCTGTGTTTGTGTGGGGGTGATTTCAGGCCCATTAACCCCCACACTGGGCCCTCTATCCTTCCTGGAGGGAGCACCTTTCTCTAGAAGAGGCTGCCTGGAGGGCCGGGTGGGCAGGCTGCAGAGTCATTAAAAGTAGACATTTAGAGCCTTAGCTGGTTTGGCTCAATAGATAAAGCATCAATCAGCCTGTGGACTGAAGGGTCCTGGGTTCAATTCCAGTCAAGGGCACATGGTCAGGTTGTGGACTCGATCCCCAGTAGGGGGTGTGCAGGAGGCAGCCAATCAGTGATTCTCATCATTGATGGTTCTATCTCTCTTCCTCTTTGAAATCAATAAAAAATATATATATTTTTAAAAAGTAGGCATTGAGGGGCAAACACTACGGATGATTGGTTGTGAGGACGCAGGGCAGGGCTAAGGCCTGGGCTGGGCTCTGGGGCCAGAATGACTTGAGCAGAAACCTCAGCCACTGACCAGCTGTGCGGCCTGGCCAAGGTTTCGGGACCTGTTTGAAGTGGGTGACAGTGCTCCTCGGGCACGGAGACTCAGTGAGGTCCTGCTGAGCAGCACCGAACTCCCCTTGGGACACCACTGCCCAGCAGACCCCCCCACCTCACCGCTGGTGCACCCCAGAGGGCCAGGCTCACCCCAGGACAGTCCAGTTGGGGACCAGGGCCAGCTGGGAGGCCGGCCCAGCTGAGGAATAGCCCGGCTAGCTCCCAGTTCCCGAGCCCTGTGTCCCGGGCCTCCAGGGCCTTAAAGAGCCACGACTTCCTAGGAAAGGCCCAGAGGATGAGGTCCTGTCACTCCCTCCTACAGGTGGACTCTCACTCCAGGTGCAAGGCTAGCCATGGACCCCACAGCCTGAAGCTCCTTTGGGGCCACGACCCCCCTCCCCCACCAGGTTTCCAGCTCTGGGTGTCAGTGCGCCCCACGGCTGGATGCAGCCACAGCGAGGCAGACCACTCCTGCAAGCTGGGGCTCCTTGGAGAAGGAGCCAACATCCCTGGCTGCTGTCCCAGGTCCCAGCCACCCCCAGGGTCCCGGCCCGCACCTGGGAAAGCTCGGGTTGTCCCAGCAACCCAAGGGTTGGGCTGCCTCCTCCCCAAAGGTCCTTGCCCTTCCTGGGGCAGAGGAGCCACAAGAGGCCTGGGCACAACAGAGGGGCTATGGGGTGAGGTGCCAGCCGAGCCCAGGATCCCAGGACTTATGGCCTAAGTCCTGCTCTGGCCTCTGGGGGGAACTCTTGCCCCTGGATCTGGCCGCAGGTCAGGGATGTTCCCAGGCGTCAAGTCTCCCAGATGGAAAACCACAGATGGGTTGGTGTAAACTCCCAGGAGGGGTCGCTTGGAGTCCTGGCCTCCTCGACTCCGACTCCACCCGTTCCCGCTCCCCGAAGCCACCCCCCCCCACCCGCCCGCCCACCTTCCTGAGACCTACCCCTACCTCCGCGCCTCCCCACGTCCCCTGCATCCCCCACCCCAGGCCCTCCCCCAGCCCCGCGCGCCCACTTGCCCTGCCTCCCGGAGCTCCGTGCGGCTGACTGTGCGCAGAGCGGGGGCGTCCAGTTTCGCACCCGTGGCAACCAGCGGTTGCCATGGGGATCGTGAGTCTTTGTGACGCCCGCGGCGCCCGGGAGTGGGGGCAGGGTGGGCGGAACCAAGGCTGAGGGGAGACCCGTTCCCTGGATTCTCAGACTTGTCTGCTGCGGGATGACGATCCCAGGACCCCGACGAAAGGAACCGCTGGCCTCTCCCCGGCTCCGCCCGGCCGGCGCGGAGGAACTGACCATGGGCTTTGCTCTCTCCGCTCGGACCAACCGGGAGCCGCCGCGGAGTGCGGGAGCCAGGCCGCAGTCGGTCCCTTCAGGCTGGCGGTCCCTGAGTCAACCGCCCGGCACAGGGCTCCCTAAGCGGGGCTTCTGGTGGGACCTGCAGCCTGCGGGTGATTTTGAGGGGGGCTCCTGCTGCATCCCTGGCTGAGTGCCGCTCGGGGAACCTCTCATTGGAGCTGCCCAGAGTCGGAGCCATGGGCACTGGCAGGTGGGCAGTGCTGGTCTCCCTGGTGAAGGTGCTGCCCGCTTCCTCTCCCACGCTGGGGCCCCATCCGGGTCTGGACAAATGGGGTCTCCACAGCTCCTGGCGCCCCTCAGAGGTATTCTCAGCCTCTGGAGCCCCACCTTCAGGGGCCAGCTGGGCTCAGGGCCTCTGGGACCCCTCAGCCAGCCGGGGTGTCCCACCCGGAGTGGTAGGTCTGACTCCCCAAGACACCCCTTGCCCCCCTTGGGGAGGCTGAAGAGGCAGGGACACCCCAAGCCATGCTTGTCTGCTCCGCCTGGGAGGTCAGTGGTGGGGCCCCCTTCCAGGATAGAATGTCTGCCTGAGTCCCCTCCCAGTCTGTCCTGTGCCAGAGCCTGCCCACTGCACCCCTCCCCACTGGAGGAGTCCCCCTGGCTAGCTGCCCATCAGCCCTTCTCAGGCCCAGGCCTCGGGGGCACCAGAGGTGGAGCCCGAGGAGGGTGTGTTGGGGCCTGGTCTGCCCTCCTTGTCCGCCCTGGGCTCTGACTCAGCTATGAGAGCTGCTGTTATTCAGGGATCCTCGGGGCAAGGGCTGAATGGTTTGGAAAGGGGGGTGCTGTCTGAAGACTGAGGGGAGAAGAGGGGCACACAGCAGCCCCACCCCTGGACCTCTTTGGCTTCACCCCTTTTGTTCTGTTTCTTGTTCCTAAGCTAATTTTTTACAATTAAATGTTTAATTTGAGATCATTGTAAATCACACCCAGTTGTAAGATGTAACAGAGACACCATGAACCCACTGCCCATTTCCTGCAGAAGCTGTGTCAGATCAAGCAGGGTGGTCCCACAGGGACCCGTCCATGCCCCTCAGCCCTGGCGGCCTGCTCTCTGTGGAGCCCTGCAGGCCGTGTGCAGCCCTGGTTGGTCCTTCCTCTTTGAGTGCCGCTCCAAGGCATGGCCCCCATCTGTGTTCTCTCTCGCCCGACTCTGCAGTCACCAGGCCGTGCTGCCCTTGGCAGAGCGACCCTGGGCCCTGAGGGTGGGGAGCCTGGTGGTCTCGAGGTCACAGCCCTGGGGAGGGGAGTGCACCTGAGCACGGACACCCCCATCATGTGTCCTCCGCACACATGAACCCATCGGGTGGTGGCTCCTCAGCCTGCATGCCGGAGGCCCCTGCTCCCCACGTCACTGGGAGCTCAGTGTTCTTACAGATGGGAGATCAAGGCACAGGGAGGTCAGCACCTTGCCCACGGCTAGTGAGTCTGAGCAGGATTTGAACCCGTCATCTGACCACACCCAGAGTTGTGGAGGCCTCTGCGCTCTCATACCCACCCCCCCACCCCCAGCACGGCCGCTCCTTAGGGCGATGGTGGAGCCAGAGGGCCTGCCTGGTGGAGGGCCCGTGGCGGGCTGCGGCGGCCAGCGATACTCCTGGCAGAGCCTGGACCAACGAGGAGGAGCCTCTTGCCCTCGTCACTGGGGGAGACTGAGAAGGGCCAGCGTTCTTCGCGAGCTGGGAGGGGTGCCCACTTCCCAGCACAGGTTCCTGCTAGAAAAATGTCTCTGCTCTGACCTTGAGGAGGATGGACAGGATCTGTTTTCCTTGCCGGTAGGAGGAAGACCTCAGCCCATCATGGGGGTCTCTGTCTGGGCTTTTTGGGGGGCTAACAGGAGGCCTGGGACCAGGCGTGGGAGCTAGTCCAGAGGACCAAGGACGGCCCTCCCTGCCTGCCCTGCACCCGAAGGAATGTGCTGTCCCAGAGGCCCTGCAGCTCTGGGGGCAGCGAGTCTTCAGGAGAATGTGTCCGGGTTGTGAGTGCTTGACCCGAGCATGGTCAGCACGAGTGGGGACCTGGCCTGAGGAGGCCCTGTGGCTGCAGGTCAGAGGCCTGGCTTCCGAGGAGGGGGAGCCATGTATCTGGACTGAGGGAAATGCACCCACAAATCCCAGGCTTGCACTCAGAAGAGCAGGTGGTGGCGGGACTGCAGGTTTTTACAGGCCCCCCCCCCCCCCGCTCCCAAGTATGTGTGTGTAAATATTTCTTCTCGCCCTGACCAGTTTGGCTCATTGGATAGAGCGTCAGCCTGCGGACTCAAGGGTCACAGGTTCGATTCCGGTCAAGGGCATGTACCTTGGTTGCGGGCACATCCCCAGTAGTGAGTGTGCAGGAGGCAGCTGATCGATGTTTCTCTCTCATCGATGTTTCTAACTCTCTATCCCTCTCCCTTCCTCTCAGTAAAAAATTAATAAAATATATATTTTTAAAAGTATCTTCTTCTCACACGCCCAACAGGATGAGTCTCAGGTGCCCGGAGCTGCCCCCTGGGCCCTTGCCCCTTCAGTGCACTGTGTGGCTGCCACACCAGTTTGTAACTGTAGAGCCGCTCCCCAGGTGTGTGGAGGGGCCTCCAGGTGCAATGCAGAGAAAAGGGTCGGCTGCCTCTCAGGGGCCAGTTGGACAATCGTCACACCTGTTTATTGGGACCACTCACCGCAGAAAGCAAACTTTTGGCCAGTTTTGCTCAATGGGAAGAGTGTCGGCCTGCGGACTGAAGGGCCCCAGGTTTGATTCCGGTCAAGGGCATGTACCTGGGTTGCGGGCTCAGTCCCCAGTGTGGGGCGGGCAGGAGGCAGCCGATTCATGATTCTCTCTCATCAGTGATGTTTCTATCTCTCCTTCTCCCTTCCTCTCTGAAATCAATAAAAATATATTTTAAAAAAGAGAGAGCAAACTTTTGGGTGTACATAGAGTTCAGGGAGAGGAAGGAGGGTTTGCAGCCAACAGAAGAGAGATGTGGCCTCAATAATGACCCTGGGTGGAGGGAGACACACATGGAGAGAGAGCAGGCTACCTGGCTGGAATCCCACCCACCACAGCCCCTGCCCACAGCCCCAGACCCCAGAA